CTTAACAAAAACCACATCAATAAATTAGATAATTTGTTCTAAAGTTAATTTATGCTTAAGACAACTAAAGAATATCGACCAGTGAGTACAAATGAACAATAAATATCTTTGCAACAAACAACTAACAAAATTTTTTTGATGACAATTATTTATAGTCATGGATTTTTGGAGATCATTTTTCAAAATACGAGGATTCAATAAATAGTGAAAGACAGATAAAGCCCTAACAAACAATCGTAAATATAAGTTCCTAATAAATATATTTTTCGTCGTCTATTTTGAGACCAATGAACACATGTCAAAGTTTTAGAGTTACCACAGTTTTTCTCTGTACTGTTTTCGCCTACTAAGAAGCTGAAATACACTGATACTATTAATGTTTTTAGTAAAAAAAACTTCTTATGAGAAGTAAAAAAAGTGAAGTTGAACAAAAAAGCAAAACAACAAAAGCCGTCATTTCAACGAGTTTACTTTTGAAAATTTGTTCATAAACATCAACTGTGGCCTGATGAAGTTCATGCAGTTGTAATGATGCAGAACTGTTGCTCATGCCTGAGCCACGTCTTGACGCCAATCCCTCTTTTGGAGTAAATCCACCAATGATTTCTGATGGTGATCGGCGTAAGACGTCGTCGGAAGACCTTCTAAAACCAATGTACAGCTCAATTTTATATCAAGTTCAAATATCAGGTAATCAAAATTTAAAGACTTTAGATTTATGTATGCTTTAAACAATTATCAGAATTGATTGTGAACATCAGTCTTTGTTTGTTTACTTGATAGCCATTTAACAAACCTTATTGTCGTAATGCCGCCACCTGAAATAGATACTTGATTTAAAGAATTTGTTACTTCCTGTATAATAATTTCTGGTTTTTTAAGCGACAAACGCGGTTTTAGTGGGAACCTAAAATAAATTAGACTTTAGTGCCATATATTGCTGTTTATAACTCAAACTTATGCTGAAATTATTGCACAACAAAGATCGATACCTTGTTGCACTTGTATTACGTAAAGAAGCTTTCCTGATCTTATAAAGAGGACTACAGCCACAGTATTTGTTATGGTTAGTTTTAGTTTCCTTTGGTGGTGGCATCATCCATCGAGTTTTATTTCGCTTTGAACGTTTATAACGGATAAGACGGCGAAAACTTGATCGGAATTTCTGTCAAAAGAATAAATTGAAAAAAAAACTGCAAAAAAAAAGTTTGCTTAAGCGATTTTGCTAAAAATATGGACAGTAAATGTATTTTTATATAAGCAAAAATGTAATTTAATTACTTGATTGATTGCAGAATAAATAAAAAAATTTAATGACGAGTTTAAGTAGCCAAGTGCTGTAGCCCAGTGAAACCAAATTTCCAAATGTTCTGGCCAGTTATTGTAAAATAATTTATACACTTTGATCATATTCAACGTAAAAAACGGCAACCAACAGATCAAAAATACCGCTAAATAAATTGGTATATAAAGCAGTGTGCAAAGCTATCCAAAATAAACAATTTTAAAATACATTCATCACCAAAACACAATTCAATTTTTTTTTTGACTACAGAATTCAAACATTACCCATTACTGCAGCAACCAGCTTGGTAGCTCTAGCTTCGCGTCGTATCGCCATACCTTTTTTAAGTTTGAGCTTTGCAAGAAGATCTAATGCCCAGTCCTAAGTAACAAGTTTTTAATAAGGATATCTAATAGTGATAAACAAATTATCCAATTATATCTGAGCTGTAACTGTTCTAAATTCAGTATTTGATTTTTATAAAAAAATTATTTGTTTACATAAATTTCAAATTTATAGCATTTTTATTGTGACTTCATCTACCTTAATACCAGCAAGCTTTTTCCTAGCAATGTAAACAGATTCACGTCTTGCATAGCTATACATTTGCGACAACGAAGATCGGCTGGGTCTTTCCCACTCAGAGATCATCTCAGACAAACGACGCATTTTTCGACTAACTGACTGAAATGCATGATAGAAGAGGTAGAAAAAAAGTGCTTCAATCTACAGTTTATCAAAATTCATCATGCTAACTTACAGGAGCGAGACGATTAGGTTGCAGCTTTTTGTCGCTATCATCTGAATCTATTTGCAATCGCTTTGGTTGAAAAGAAAACCTTCTCTGTGAATGAATGCTATTTGGAGAGTCCTGCCGTGCTCCACAAGGTGAAATACTTTTCATGGATTCAGAAAATCGTCGACCAACGCTGGAAATAAACCGCAGCTTGAAGAAAACTAACTTTTTATCAAATTTTTCAATCAAAACTTTAAAGAATTGACTTTGTTGTAAACTTTGATAAATTTTTTTTAAAAATACAATCAAAGACTTCTTCAAGTAAGTTGGTTTTGGAACAACTAATGCTGTAGCACTGCTCCCTCCACTTGTAACAGTCAAACTTGTTTCTTTTTCAGGTGGCAATGTTACTGCATCTAGCAGAACAGACGGTGGCCGATCGGGATCTTCTTCGTACTGTGTTAACTCAGCGTCAGACGATGATGGTTGAACAGCTTCAAGGATTGTTTGTAACTATAAAAAACTTCGTTTGTCAGCAATTAGTGATTTGACCAAA